TATTATACGAGGATAAGCATATCTCTAATATCTAGAAGGGCCGTTTTGTCAATGAATCCGTTAAAAGGAACATTAAACTTCCCTTTTTCCTATATAAAAAGGAGTTTTATATGGTAAAAATTATAGAGCCATTGGTGCTTTTTGATAGCTGCTTTTCTTTCTAAAGGTTCTCGGATGGAAAACCAGAGCTATGTGATTACCAGCCTCACAACATTTCCTTTTAGATCTAGGGCTCTGGCACTCATCCTTGACTTTGATATTTGCTCGAGTTTGTATCGAAGTCACTAGGCACCCTGTTTGATTATTCATTATAATGAATGATATTTGCTAACCCTTCGAGGAGTAGCCGAACAAACCATTTTTCTCTTTACTGTCAAATTATTTGTTTCGTCAGTTCGTCTTTTATTAGTATTAATATTAATTTTAAATCTTAAATGTAATATTAATTTGAAATCCTAAATTGTTAGGGGTAATAGCTTAGGTTTGGTCCGAGTCAGGTCGGGCCTAGACGCGATCTGACTTGACAATTAAAATATCTGTGTTTAACTATATTTAAATATATTTTATTTATTGGGAGCCAAAAAATATTACCGGATCGAGTCTACCCCTCGAGTCTCGGTTTAGGTCCAAGTCAATTATATTTTCGTAACAATTAAGGAAAAGAATATTAGTAGTCAGTTTTTTTTCTTAAGGTACTCTTACACATCAAATATTTCCTTAATGTACTCATTATTTTTTGATATTTGATATCTTTTTTTGGACCAATAATCATACTTTTATTGATGATTACAAAAAGGATATTACATCATCAGAAATAACAGAGGAGGGTTAAGAAGCACCACCCTTAGTTAAAGCATCAGCTACACAATTTGCTTCACGATAGACATGAGAAAAAGAGATAGATAATGACGCAAAAGCATCCATAATCTGTAACCATAAAGAACGGAGTTCCCAAGGGACCCTCTACTCCTTATTGCACCGTCTAATCACATTCAAAGAGTTCCCTTCAATCATGCAACTATTACCTAGATTTTTAGGAATGAAAATCTTCAGTCCCCAGAGCAAAGCACTAAGCTCAGCAAAATTAACAATTACAATAACTATTAGACCTGCATATGTAAATAAAATATTTCCAAAACTATCGCTTAAAACTCCACCAATCCCAGCCTGGCCAGGGTTACCGAAGGAACTCCCATCAAAATTAAGCTTTAGACAGCCCAAAACAGGAGCAAGCCACATACATTTTGGTCTACCAATACCAACACCCATAGAGAAAGGTTAGTGAGATTGACCAAAACATCTACCTTAGATATTCCCCAACCTTCCTTTCTAACTAAAAGCCAAGACCAAATAAAAAGCTTGATAATATGAATTAGTTCATCGCAAGAAATAGAGGTCCCATCAAAAGTCATTCTATTTCTCTTCTTCCACACCTCCCAAAGAATCACACCTTTTGCTATCGTCCAAATCACATTCCAAACTTCGGCAAATAAGGTTGAGCTAGCTGCGATACATCCCAACCACAGATTGGGGAAGCACCAAAGTCACACTTACCACTTCAAACAACCAATACCATATTCTTATCGTAAAAGGGCAATGGATAAATAAATGGACAACCGATTCACCATCTACTTTGCAAAGCAAACAAACATTTGGCGATATCTTTCCCCTTTTGACTAAATTATCAATGGTCAATACTTTATTTTGTGCTGCCAACCAAGTAAAGACCTGGACTTTATGAAGAATCGGTCATTTCCATATCTAAACAATATTGAGACAAGACCATCTCCATCGATCATGAAAGAAAAGATTATAACAAAATTTAACAGAAAACAAACTATCACTTTCAATCTCCCAAATCATATCGTCTTCAGCGTTCTGTGAGATATAAACCTTGTCCAATAGTTCCATCAATGAACACCATTGAGACAACAACACATTATTCAATCGCCTATAAATAAGAAAGATATTCCACGAAATCAAATGGCCTCTCATCTCAACAGCTTCACAAACCTTTATATTTGGCCTAGAGACAACCCCAAAAAGCTCTGGGAAATCAGATTTAACTGGAAAATCCCTAATCCACTTATGATGCCAAAATAGAACCTGACTTCCACTTCCAATATTCCATCTGAAATAACCTAAAATCATAGGTTTGCAATTAGAAATAGCCCTCCGCACATGAGAAGTATCCTTACCTCTTCCACCTCCTAGCCAAAGTTCGTATCTATCCATATCATATTTTGATAATAGGGCTTAATACCAGATGTGATCTTTCGAATTGATACTATGCCACCACCATTTACACATCAATGCTTGGTTAACTATTCTCACATTTCCAATACCCAAACCACCTTCCCGCTTAGGAGTACAGACTCTATCCCATCTTAACAAATGGAATTTCCTAGCCTCACCACAAGAACTCAAAGAAAGTCTTGCATCATCTTCTCAATTTTTTTTCCTATTGATGAGAGAATATGGATCAAGGACATCTGATAAACTGGAAGGTTAGCCAAACAAGATCTCAACAAAGTTACCCTTCTTCCCAATGACAAGTATTTATGCTTTAACATATCAAGTTTGACTCCCACCCTTTCAAGCACTTCGTCTCAGATAACAATAGACAACCTTGAGTTTGAGATAGGTAAGCCAAGGTAGGTGACAGGGAAAGACCCTACCTTACACCCCATAACACTTGCCATATTCTCTGCCAAAATGTCTGAGCAATTAATACCAATCATAGCGGATTTATGGAAACTAACT